CTCAGGCATCATGACAAAACCCCTAAATGTTTCTGGTGGTTACAGGCCTCCACATTCTCAGCAGCATCAGTGGTGAACTAGTTCTGGGTCAGAAGGAATAAAGAGACTTTAAACTGGCTTTCTTAGGAACAACCCAAAAAGAAAACCAGTACCAATAATCCAGCTATTCAGCCAGGCCGTTGGTGGCGCACACCTTTAATCCCAGCACTCGGGAAGCAGAGGCAGGCAGATCTCTGTGAGTTCGAGGCCAGCCTGGTCTCCAGAGCAAGTACCAGGATAGGCTCCAAAGCTACATAGAGAAACTCTGCCTTGAAAAAACAAATAATAATAATAATAATAATAATAATAATAATAATAATTAACAAAGGCATGAGAGGTCATCCCCTATTCAGTCAAGCAGGCCTGGGGTAAATAAAACACCATAAACATCACCCTTCCCACTAAAATTCAGATAGTTTATGAATAAGTACTCCCCGAGATGTTTTTGGGTTTTTTTCTGTTTTTTGTTTGTTTTGTTTTGTTTTGTTTTTTGTTTTTTGAGACAGGATCTCTCTGTAGGTTTGGAGACTGTCCTGGAACTCTCTTTGAAGACCAGGCGGGCCTCGACCTCAGAGATCCACCTGCCTCTGCTGGGATTAAAGGCGTTCCCCACCAACGCCCGGCTCCCGGAGATGTTTTTTTAATAGATTTTTATTTTATGTGCATGAGTGTGGCCTGCACGTATGTCTGTGCACCACAGGCATGCAGTGCCTGCAGCCAGAAGAGTGTCAGATTCTCTGTAACTGAATGACAGATAGCTAACAAAGGCTTGGAGTGCTGAGAACCAAACCCAAGGCTTCTGGTTAAGGGTACTGTAAGCAACAAGTACCCTTACCTGCTGAGCCATCTCTCCAGCCCCTAGATGTTTTGAGCTTTTGACTAACTTCTAGATTTCTAAAGCACTTGATTCTTACAGGTTTGGTTATTCTCCTGTGAGTTGTGTATTCGTATGTTGATCTCATGGAAATGAAAATCCCAGTTCTTTCCTACACCATTTTTTTTCCTGATGTTGCTCTAAAACAGCAAAATATTTTAATTATTACTTGCTCTCTCTCTCTCTCTCTCTCTCTCTCTCTCTCTCTCTCTGGTGTGTGTGTGTGTGTGTGTGTGTGTGTGTGTGTGTTGCACATATGAAGATCAAAGGACAACTTGTAAGGTGTCACTTTTATTCTACCAGCTGGGTCTGGGGATCAGACTAAAACTCAGAAGACTGACTTTTAGTCACTGAGTCATCTTACCCACCACCAGAAACATTTTCAAAGTAACTTTTTGTTATATTCATTTTTTAAAGGTGACCACACAATGAAGAGTATGGAGGAAGAAGACTTGGAAGGATTGGTTCTCTCCTTCCACCATATGGGTATGTAAAGCACCCTCATCTGCTGAGTGAAGAGCTAACTCACTGACCCCCAGAAAACATTTTAAGCTTGATTTATTTTTTTATTTTATAGCTATGAATGTTTTGCCTGCATGTACATATGTGTACCACATGCATGCCGGAAATTCACAGAGGTCAGTAGAGGGTTGGTATCCCCCTGGAACTGGAATTACATACTGTTGTAAGCCATCATGAGAGTGCTGGGAATTGAACCTGGGTTCTTTGCAAGAACAGCTAGCGCTCTTAAGGGATGAGGCATTTCTCCAGTCTCATTTCAGTCTTATTTTGAAGATTTATAGATACTTATTTATTCTATTGTACGAGTGTACCTGGGTGTATGTACATGCACCACATGTGTGCAGTTGCAGGACGACACACACCTTGGATCCAGATCTTAAGGTGGGATGACCTGCCTTTAATCTAGGGCATACCTTGTGCTGGAAGCCTATAAAAGGACATGGAAGGAAGAAGCTTTTGCTCTTTGTCTTGCTAGCACATCCATTCCTTCACTGGCATTGGAGCCTACTTCTTCAGGACTCCAACATATACTGAAGACCAGCTGAGCAATCCAGTCTTGTGGACTGAGCAACTACTGGATTCTTGGACTGTCCATTCACAGCCAGCCATTATTGGATTAGTTGGACTGAGGCTGTAAGTCATTCCAATAAATCATACACACACACACACACACACACACACACACACAGAAAGAGAGAGAGAGAGAGAGAGAGAGAGAGAGAGAGAGATTCATTCTATAAGTTCTGCTACTGTAGAGAACCCTGAATGATACAACTATATGGGGAGTTCAAGGCCAGCGGCCAGCCTAGGCTACATGGTACATTTCCCTCCAGGAAGGTTGGGTCAGTACACACAACACACACACACACACACACACACACAAAGGAACAGAACATCCAATGAAAGGAGAGTAGCAGGAGCTTTCGGGACAGAGACAAAATTGAACACAGGGATTCTGGAGCTGTGATAATGGGAAAGAAACATCCAAAACAATGCAGAGAGAACTATGTCCAGCCCTTATATGGCAACAGAACAGGGCCTGCTCCTACCATCCAGGTGGGAAAACTCTACCCAATAGACAGTACTCAGGAAGGCCTTACTCAGAGAAATCATAAAGTGAGCAGCAGTTCTTTGACTCACCAAACAAATCACAGACACAAAATTCTAAACATTCAAACTGGCTAAGTAATTTAAATGAACTCCAGAACAAAGCTCAACATTTTGAATATTTATAGAAAGTACAAAAATATCCAAGACCCAAAATAGTAATATTCATAATGTTTGGCACACATATAAGCAGAAAAACACAATGAGTAATGAGAAAAATAACCAAACAAAATTGAAATAAATTTAGAATTATGAAACACATTTAAAAGCTATTCTATAGATTTTTATTAAATAGTCAAGCAGTGACATGGACAATTAAAAAACAAAACTCAAAACAATTTGATAGGGTTATTTTGGTGTTTTGTTTTGTTTGAAACAGGATGTCAACTAAGTAAGTAGCCCCAAACTCAGAGAAATCCATCTACCTTTGTCTCCTGAGCTCTGAGATTAAAGGTATATGCCACCATGCCCATTATCATATCAAAATTCAAAAGATAAAGGCTGGAGAGATGGCTCAGAGGGTAAGAGCAGCTCTTCCAGTGCTCTTCAATTCCCAGCAACTACATGGTGGCTCACAACCATCTATAATGAGATATGGCCTGCAGGCATACATGCAGGCAGAACACTATATACATACTAAATAAATAAATCTTTAAAAGAATTTTTTTGAAAGATAAGTATTACATACTGGTTTAAAAAAACAAATGGTATTAATCAGTAGAGGAGTACGTTGCAAAAGACAAGATGAATGAGGGGCTGGAGAGTTGTCAAAGTGCTTGAGAGTGCCTGCAGCTCTTGTGATGCACCTGTTTGGCCAACAGCACCCATGCTGGGCAGTTCACAACCTTGTTATCCAGCTCTATGCAATCGGATATCCTCGGTCTCTACTGGCATTGAACTCATGTTGTACAGAGATAAAATAAATCTCAAAAAAAAAAAAAAGATGAATGAGCTTCCAGAATGAAACAGTAATATCACTCATAAAAACACACACACACACAACAACACACACACACACACACACACACACACACACACACGAGTGCACAGGGTTTGGGGTTTCCCCAGATGGTTTTCAGTCTTGCCTTGGTCCAGTATTTCCTCACTATGCTCCCTTTCCTATATTTTGGAGCAGTAATGTACACCCTGTGCCACTGTATATTGGAGGTATATGATCTGCTTTTTTATTTTAATTTTATAGGGGAATATATATGAATAAAAGTGAAATTTTTTTATAAAAGTATAACCAATTTACTCTCCCATATTTAACAGCAACTTCCATTTGCATAGCCTCCATGCAGGAATAAAACTCACCAATCAGGTTATCAGTGTCAGGACAGCTATTTCAGGAGAAAGAAAGCAGATACTGACATTTCACAAAATGCTAAAATCACCTTGTATGCATGCCGAATCTAACAAACTTCTTATCTGAACTAGGTCCCCAAATTTTGGAGACTCTCTAGCCTTTTGGAAAACACAATGTATCCTTCACATAACCAAAGAAGCAAGGGATGTGGTACAAATACAAGAGCCCACCATGGGTAAGCTCTGGAGTCTACCTCTGGCCTTGACCTTTCTGTTGCTTACCAATCTCCTACCTGTAGAAGATAATGATGTCCTTATTATCCCTGTAAAGTTTTCTAAGTTCAGCTTAGTGATACAGGTCAGTAAAGGGCTTGCCTAGCATACATGAAACCCTGGGTTCCATTCCCAGCACTGCATGCACTGGTAGAAGAAGGAGGACCAGAAGTTCAAAGTCATCCTTCAGCTAACAGGTGAGTCTGAAGCTAGCCTGGGGAATATGAGAGCCTGTCTCAAATAAATAAATACATAAATAAATAACAAGAAAGAAATCTTTGCTTTGCTCAAATGCTTTGGATTCACTAAGTGTAAGCACTTAATAGATGTACTTCCTGATACAAGCTACAAAAAAGCCAATTATTCTTAATTGCAAAAATACCTAAGAATCAAAAGCCACTGAACGTGAATGATGGACATTAAAGTCTGAGATCAGTGAAAAAGGCTTTTCACTGCATGTAACTTGGCCCAGCACTTGGGAGGCAGAGGCAGGCAGACCTTTGTGAGTTCGAGGCCAGCCTGGTCTACAGAGTGAGTGTCAGGATAGACTCCAAAGCTACACAGAAAAACCCTGTCTCAAAAAGCCAAAATCAATAAATAAATAAATAAACAAATAAACTAGTAGCAAACAAAGAACAAAAAAAAAAACCCTTGCCAATGAAAAACAAACACAAACATATACTTGTGTATATCTTTTCTTTTTTGAGACAGAGTCTGTCTCTCTGTGGCCCTGACTAGTATGCAACACTACATGTGAGTTCTGTGGCCTTGAACTCACAGAAGCCTCCCGAATGCTGGTCTGAGCCAACGTAAGTGGCACACTTCCGTATCTTTATCAGTTGAATACAGGGCTAAAAAAGAAGAGACAGTGCTTACTCACTTTGACAGAGACACTCCCCCAGCTTTCCCGATCATTTCTTCATGGTGCAAAACTGAATGGTTCCATGGAATATGGAGGAACTTTAAGAGCGTTCTCATCCACCGTTCAGGGTGTAAGACAAGCTGTTCATAGTGAACCAACATGCATTTTTTATAACCAACCTCCATACACTGGTTGTACATGGTTTCTATGGCCCGATTCCACTTGGTCAAACAGTCCCTGTAGCTGTTCAGGTCAAATCCAGCTATGGTAACTTTTCGAGAAATCATTGAATGTACTGATGCCCGGCCATCTCGGACCATCAGGAGAAATTTGGCATTGGGAAATAACCTAGAAAGGTAAGTCAAGGATTTCAGGGCAAAAGGATCTTTGTTACATAAATAAGGTGCTGGCTCCCCATGCTTAACAATGACCTCCAGAAGGAAGGCTTGCATGGCAGAATCCAGCACATCATCAGTGACACCAGCCTCATCCAGGCGGATCTTCTCTTTACTGGACCGGGACCACATCTGCTTCAGGGCAAGGATCCGAGGGATGACCCTGGTTTCCTCTCCACAGCGGATGTCAGGATGGGCATCCAGCATAGCCCGCATGAGCGTGGTTCCACTTCGAGGCACACCTCCGATAAATATTAAAGGCATATCTTTGTGATAGGTGAATGTTTTGTTGGCTTTGATGTCCAGGCCAGTTCGCACAGTTGTCTTGGGGTTCTCCAGTCTAGCTGGCTGGCTACGTTCCTCTATCCGGTGATGGCACTCCATGGCATGCTGGCCCAGGTAAAACACTGTCACAGAACTAATCACCAGACACGCCAAAAGTAAGTTCTGCTTCAGCTTTCCCACCATCTTGATGTGGTTATCTTCTTTTTAAACATGTATTTTGCTCAAAATTATTGTCAAGAAATGTTCAGGCCATGGAGATTCTACCACAGAAAGATGGTCAGCATCTGGTAGAAAAACAGAGATTACCGTCAGATTATGACTGTTTACAGACCAGTCAGCAGTGTTTTAGCCAGAAAGCAGCAGAAACAATCTGGATGCTTCACTACCTAAGAAAGGAAGATCCACATATGGGAAGAAAAACCAGCAGGAGAAGCACAGTGGTGCAGGCCTGTAACCCAGTTACTCAGGAGGCTGAGCAAAGTGGACTGGGTTAAGCCAACCTACATTACAGAGGACATTCGAGGACAGTGTGGGCAACTTCATAAGATCTTGTCTCAAAATTAAAGGGTGCTAGAACACAGCTTAATGGCAGAGCACGTGCCTAGCATGAAGACTCAGGGACAACCTCCAGAAGAGAGACCCACCCCCCTCAAACAAACAAACAAACAAAAAATACTTATAATCTGAAACAGCTTTTTATGATTTAACAAATCTGAAGCTATGCACCTGGCTCATAATAAAAAGACAGCTATTTGTAATAGCAAATTTAGCAAATATTTAGTACATTCCAACATGTATTTATTAAATATTGAAATATAATGTTGATCATTTGTATTCAAATTGCTTCACACACACACACACACACACACACACACACATACACACACAATCACTAGCTCCATATTCTATTACAAAGACAAATTACCTAAAAAGGAGTACAGAGTACAACTCATTTGTGCCCAACTGTCCTTGGGATTTCAATTTGCAACCCCACAATCACTAAGGCAGTTCCTTAAAAATCAATCTTCTAACTGTTCCATCCTCCCCACTCCAGGGTGTGCGTGTGTGTGTCTCCTAAACATACCCTACTGGCTCTGTTTGCCAGCAGGATGCTAACTAAAACAGAAAAAAAAAGTCTACATGGAGAAATGATTGAATATACTTGAGAAAAAAATACAAGCTAAGGGGCTGGGGAGATGACTCAGCACCAGCTGTTCTTGCAGAGGACCTGGGTCCAATTCTCAGCACCCACATGGGTGCTAATAATCACCTGAAACTCCAGTTTCAGAGGATAGCATGTCCTCTCCCAGCTTCCATGGGTGCCAGGCACACATGTGGTACATATACATGCATGCAGACAAAAACCCACACACAGGAAATAATTTTTTTTTTTTTTTTTTTTTAGTTTTTCGAGACAGGGTTTCTCTGTGGCTTTGGAGGCTGTCCTGGAACTAGCTCTTGTAGACCAGGCTGGTCTCGAACTCACAGTGATCCACCTGCCTCTGCCTCCCGAGTGCTGGGATTAAAGGCGTGTGCCACCAATGCCCGGCAGGAAATAAAAACTTTTAAAAAAGTAAATCTTAGAAGAGGAGGAGGAAGAGAAGAAGACTGTATTCTGAGAGTCAGAACTTCCAACTCTGGCCCAGTGATAATTCGGCCAATCTTACCCCCTACCCCCAACCAATTATAAAGCTTAATTAACAATTGGGCCTTTCAGTGCTCTGGAAATCAAAGGAGTAAAACAACCTAAGAACATTTACAGCTGAACACTGTAAAAACTGGTCAGAACAGTGAGAGTCTATAATTCTGCCATCTCCCAACTCAGAAGGTGCCATGGGCAGCAGGGCAGTGTAAACAGTCAGCACTGGTAGCTTTTGCTCATAAGTGGAGGGGAGCTTGCTGCTTGCTAATTTGAGGTGGTGAACAAGATGCACATCCAAGTGCACTGTCAAGCTGAACAAGATGGTGGGCAACTCTAGCAGGCTGAGGCTGTAGTACTGGCTGGGCAACTCAGGCACAAAAGAGTTGGGAACAGTGAAGTTTGTATGGCTGAGATTTATAACCCAATACTTAGAAATTTGAGGCAGGTAGAATGCTGGAAGTTTAGTGTTAGTCTGGACCATATACTGAGTTCTAGGTCAGGCTGGACTAGTGGTATACCCTGTATGAAAAAAATTAAAGGAGAAGGAGAAAGGAAAAAGAAAAAAGAGAATGGGAAAGGAAAAGAAGGGACACAAAGGGAAGAAGTAGATTACAAACAGCCTGGACTTGATAGCTCCCCTGCTCAAGGCCAGATGTACTGGTATCAGAGCTCAATGGCTCAATGTCTAAGCCAAGCACTTGTCAAACACTAGCTGACTTCTAGGCAATGAGCTACACAGACAGAGAGGCAAACCCTAGAAACTATGATTAGAAAACAATTACAAGAGCATCTATACTTTACACAAATACAGGTATACTTTCAAGTCATTCATAAGTATATATAGCAGCTGCCATTTAACTATGTAAAAAGTAACAACCACACACATGTATACAGTATATCCATATGGACAAGCTTATAGAGAGAACAGATTACAGAAGCAAGAATTTAACTGCCAACAGGCAACATGGGACTTTCTACAGATGAAAATTTCCTGACTGGACTGCTGCCGCAGTTGCACAAGTATAAAACCTAATAAAATCACTGAACTGTACTCTAACAATGGGTGAGTATTAAGACATACAAATCACACCTCAACACAGATGTTTTCTAAAAATGAATACATGACTAAAAAATGTTTTAATAGTCTCAATGAGCTATACCAACTAATATCTGGTTTTTGTTTATTCATTTGATGTAGCTGAGCAGATACCATTCTGTCAGGCATTGCACAGAACTTCAAGAATCCTGATTGAGATAAAAAGATTGGCTTCATAAAAAAATAAAAAACTACAAATAAAAAGCATTAATTAAGATAATTGGTAGTAATACAGCATTAAAAAGTCTTAATACAAAATGGTATCCAGCCGGGCGTTAGTGGCACACGCCACTCGAACTGTGAGTTCGAGGCCAGCCTGGTCTCCAGAGCGAGTGTCAGGATAGGCTCCAAAGCTACACAGAGAAACCCTGTCTCAAAAAACAAAAAACAACAACAAAAAAAAAAGGTATCCATTATATGGAAGGCACACTTAAGATGTTATCCTAGGATTTAATTTAAAAGGGAGTTCAAGGAAAGAAAAAACAATGGCAAGAAGACCAAGTAACAGAAAATAGAATAAGATCCAACCCTGGAAAAGTAACATTCTGGTTGATGAAATTAGAATTATAAGGAGGGGAGGCCTTCCCAAACTAGAAGAGGTGGGTGCAGTCTATAGAGCTGAGGGTCTGCTTCACCCAAATGACAACAGGCCCAAGGAAGGCATAGCATGACAATTTTAAACATGCAGGAAATAATTCAGCGGGACATCAAATAAAAAGAATATAAGAGGGGGCTGGAGAGTTGGCTCAGTGGTTAAGAGCACTGGTTGCTCTTCCAGAGAACCAGGATTCAATTCCTGACACCCACATGGCAGCTCACAACTGTCTGTAGCTCAAGTAGATCCAACTCTCTCACACAGATATGCAGGTCAACCACCAATGCACATTTAAAAAAAAACAAAACCCAAGAACCAAAGGACCAAATAACCAGTTGGTGCCAGATGTCTCCACTCAACACCTGTCTTCCTCATCCCCAGCACTGGGATTACAAGCATGTACCACCACACACAGTGTTTTTCACATGAGTTCTAGGGGTCAAATTCATATCCTTGTGCTTGCTAGGCAAGTAAATTACTAAAGCCATCCCTCAATTCAGTCTTTCTTTTAAAGTGGCACTTGTTAGTGGGGAGGGGTGGGGGGGGCGGTGGGGGGAATGGAAGGAGGAAGGATGGGAGGAAGAGGGACGGGGGATTGATATGTAAAATAAGATTGCGTCTAAATTAAAAAAGAAAAAATCATAAATTAGCACCAATAAATGAATAAATGAAGTGGCACTTGGGCTAAGATTTGATGTGAAGCAGTGTGAAGTGAGGCATGCCAAGCACAAAGGCCCATGTTGAGAAGGCATTTGGACGCTGTCAAGAAAAAAAGGCCAATGTTGTTACAAGGTAGGGAGCAAGAGGGCAAATGAAGAAGAAATGAAACCAGGCAGGGGCTGGACTCCAAACCTTACAGTGTGAATAAGGGATGTGAAATTGTACAAGATAATTAAATGTAGTGAGTTCGAAGCTAGCCTGGTCTACAGAGCGAGTTCCAGGACAGGCTCCAAAGCAATACAGAGAAACCCTGTCTCAAAAAACAAAACAAAACAAAACAAACAAAAAATTAAACGTGACTGATTTTAAACAAGGAGTCACTTGATCAAACTTAGGCTTATAAAATTTCATTCTAGCCAAAACAACCTTGACAAAGAATAAAATTGGAAGACTCCAGAGAGGGAAGAATGATGAGCAACGGGGTCAGGACCAGGCTGGTGAAACCCACAGAAACAGCTGACCTGAACAAGGGGGAGCTCAGGAACCCCAGACTGATGGCTGACAAGCCAGCATTGAACTGATCCAGACCCCCTGAACGTGGGTGTCAGTGAGGAGGCCTCAGCAATCTATGAGTCCTCGGGTAGTAGACTAGTATTTCTCCCTAGCACACAAATGGACTTTGGGAGCCCATTCCACATGGAGGAATGCTCTCTCAGTCTGGACACATGCCTAGGCCCTGCCTGAGATGATATGACAGACTTTGGAGATCCCCCATGGAGGGCCTCACCATACCTGGGGAGCAGAGGGGGATAGGGTGCAGACTTGGGGGTGTTGGTGAGGGGCAGGGGGAGGAAGGGAGGGAGAGAGAGCTAGGATTGATATGTGAAGCAAGCTTGTTACTAATTTTAAAAAATAATAATAAATAAATAAAATTGGAAGAGGCACACTTTTAAGTTTCAGAATTACAAAGCTATTATAATGATGTCAACCTAAAATGACTAACAGAAAGAGACTGCTCAGAGCAATGAGTTTATTTCGAAATAGCAAGAGGCTGGGACCCAGGATTCATGTGCCAAGACAGGATATTCAAGGGAAACCTTTTAAAAATGGAATGCAAGGAGATATTTCAATGGGCAAAATGCTTGCCTCGAAAGCAATAGAACCACATTTCCACCCTCAGAATCAATGTTAAGGGGTGTGTGTGTGTGTGTGTGTGTGTGTGTGTGTGTGTGTGTGTGTGTGTGTGTGTGTGTGTGTTTCTAAACAGGTAAAAGCATCTGTTGTACAACCC